GAGGCATAAACCAAGACTCCAGACAGATGATGACCTGTGCAGCAGCCTCGTTCCCAAAGATGCCCGCCATTTACATCAATTTTTTTTAACTTCTTTTCCTAAGGGTAAAATAATTGGTTTTTCTATTTCATCGGGAATTACTATTTTCTCTTTGAGGAAGGAAGAAAAAAACAAATGACAAACATGAAGCCCAAAGAATATAACTCTGAAAAATTCCTCTAAGGTGAGATGATGAATCTGTAATGTACTCACACAATCGACGCTTTACCATAATAGTATATACTTTCATAGAGTACTTAGTTTTCTAGGACTCATCCAGGGACTTTCCCTTATTAGTTTTCTAGTGAATCTGATGGGTAGAATTTCCCAGACAATTTTTAGGAACTGATGAACATGTACTTGTAAGTCAGAGATCTGAATTCACTATGGGACAATTTATAGGACATGTTTCCTTCAAAATCATCCTACGACAAAAACTGCTATGACAAGTAAAAATTTGAAAACTTGCCTTGTACGTGATTTGCTTTGTTAAGCTGGCTTGATGTTTAAGAGTACTAAATCATTTACCATAAAGGAAAATAACAAACCTTATTTTTAGCATGCTAACGATATTTTAAGACTCATAGGTTTTGAGTCATTTGGCACAGATAACACTTCATTTATTTAAAAAAAAAGTTATCATTTGCTAAAAATCAGCTATATGCCAGGCACTTACATACATGATCTCAACCTTGTAAGTCATCCTGTAAGATATTTATCTGCATTTTATCATCAAGGAAGTCAGCGGCCCAAAGAGCACCCAGACAGTTGAGTACACATACTAGAATCCAAAACGAAAACCCTAGCTATAATGTTAGGTGGCTCAATATGGAGACTCTGATAGGCTATTTAGTTTCCTCAAAGCAAACTAAAATGAAATGTATACTGCTGAAGAGATAGCTCAACACGTGTGAATGCCGCACAAGGAAAAAACAGGCAGAAGCCTGTACTGCCCCACCCTCTACCCTGTCGTCACTGGCAAACTAAAAAGCGGAGCTGTATAATTCTCTCCCTCTCCTCCTGTGTGCAACCCCATACCCTGTCCCACCCCCACACAGGCAGTTTCATTTGACTTTGTGGATGGTTATTTCTGTGGGAGAAAACCCCAGTGGTATAATGGTTGGGACATGGAAGGTTTTGGTTAATAGTCTAGCTGGCTTAATTTCCCAAAAATTAAACACTTAGATTATAACAAAGAGTATGTGATCGTCTTTAAGACCTTCCAGGCCTAACAATCATCAGTATAAACAAAATTGTTCGCTGTTGTATTGTTCCCTCTCCTCCCTAAATTGTTATCCTTGTTTTTGTTTTTAATCTTTGGGGGAGAAATTCGCTACAGAGAACTCTGTGACTTTATATCCCTGCTACAGTCAAAATTAACACCACTCTCCTGATCCTCAGTAACATTCAGTGTGTTTAGACCACTTACCTATTGTTTTTTATCTTTTTCTAGACTGATGAATGCAACCAAAACATTATCATGAGACCTTTGAATACTAACCTAGCAACAAAGAAACCAGTTTCTGCTAACCTCTTCTTTGTGCAGTCCTGCTATGTAAAAGTCCCTTAACACAAGGTGAAATCCTAAAGCACCCTCTCCAATCACCTCTTAAAGAACCAACAATATTCGGTTTGATCATTATGGGGAGTGTCTTAAAATGGCAACAAAAACCACATGAAGCTCAACTATTTCCAACTCTGTGTCAAAGACCCATTTGTCTTACAAATCAATTTAATCTTACTTGACATTAGGACTATAATAATTCAAACTCCAGCCGGGCTTGGTGGCTCAGCCTGTAATCCCGCGCCTTTGGGAGGCTGAGGGGAATGGATTGCCTGAGCCCGCGGGTTCGAGACCTGCCTGGGCAGCGAGACCTCATCTCTACAATAAATCAAAAAACCAGCTGGGCATGGTAGCGCACGCCTGTAATTCTGGCTACTCAGAAGGCTGAGACGGAAGGATCGCCGGAGGCCAGCAGGCAAGGCTGCGGTGGCCGGGAGCGGCCCCTGCACTCCAGTCTGGGCAACCGAGTGAGACTCCAACTCAAAAAAATAATAATAATAATAATAATTCAAACTTCTGAAGCCTAAGACGATGGGAGAGCAGCCTCTGACTCATTCCGGAGGGTCCTCTCTGGGCCAAGGCATTCCATGACACTCCATTACACAAGAATGGGCAGACAGGATTATAGATCTGGATTCTTGTCCTGCCCGATTATAATAGTTAATTATTGTTTAACAAGAGCAGTTCAATATGTTTTCAGCTAAATAAGACAATTCTGTCTCTTACATGGTTTAAAAACGCCAAGGCCAACTTTTCACAATGGTGATGTTATTCCGGGCATTCTTGTGGCAGTGATACTTCCTAAAGGACAATCTGCCTCATGAAATAGAGAGCACTTTGGAAAAAATTACCAAAAACTTTTCACCCTACCTAGAGGCCACCAGTCTCCAGAGAAGACCACTCCCTAAGTTATTCCACTTCCTTTATAGATGAAGTGGCTTTGGAAAAGTCCAGCAGGTTGTGCACCCAGCCTGCTTCCCCTTCCCATGAAGCACACGATTCACTGACATTTCCCGGCCTCCCCTGGGTAAGGTGTGGCCATGTAACTGAGTTCTGGCCAGAGAACATGAGCAGAAAGAATGTGTTCTATGTCTATGCCTGGGCACATAAGAACTCCCCACACGAGTCTCCCATTTCCCTCCCGCTGACTTGTGGCAGCTGAACACAGCCACATGTAGAAGACGGAAGAATGGTAAGCTAGAAGGAATAGGGTCCCTGAATCAGTGTTTGGAGGAAAACAGTCCATGTATCAGGGCAACCAGTGAGCGAGAGAGAAATTTCTATCAGGTTTCAGTCACTATACGTTTAAGCAGCTGACATGATATTAACTAAACAAAATACGCTGGGCAACCACAGATCAAGGTTAGGCTGATCTGGAACTGATGTGGTAGAATTGGCAACTCAGCAAGAGCAGGACACATGGGATGGAATCCCTTGATAGATACAGTCAAGGTAAGACCATATTTGGCCACAATAAAGCAATCTATTCCAGCATGCGATAAAGATTTTGCTAAGGAGCTGAGATTGAAGAGACATTTTGGGCCACTGATCCTTCATTTCCATAGTTAAATATTAACTGGTGTAAACTACCACATATTTGTGAGGATCTTCTATACTTTCTTTGCCAAAGGTATCATAATTCATATTAAAATACGTCAGCATACCACAAGAAACCCAACTCTGGATTTACTACAACACTACTGTTGAAGTCATTTCACAGAGGACGTTAAGCAATACAGTGGACACAGTCCAAGTCGAGTTTCTTTAGCTGTTTGTTGTTCTTGATAGAAATTCAACACCAAGACAACACTGGCATTCCCCTATGGAAGTTGCACATGTGACACTTCCCGTGCCGCCCCGTCAAGACCCAAACCAGCTGCACCATCACAGCATTATTTGTTCTTGATGTTGGCATTCCTCCTCCTCCTTCTTTTGTCCTGATTTTTTTGGTTTGACCTCACTAGATATATTCACTGCAAATTACCTCCATTGCAAAGTTATTTAAAAGATGAAGTATGAATAAATTCTATCAATTAAGGAAGGAAATCAACACTCATTAAGTGCCTACTATATGCCAGGTACTTTCACATACTTAATTCCATTTAGTCTTTGCAGCAATACGGTATATAATATAACTTTCCATTTTACAAATGAGAAAGCAAGTTAGTTGAAATAAATAAATAATAACTCATTCAAGTCCATACACCAAAGAAAATGACAGCGAGATTCAAGTATGGTGACAATGGGCTCTAAAACTCACTCTTTCCATCTCAAAATGCTTCATTTAACCTAATGACATATTAACATCCTTTACACAAGGGGAAAAAATAGGATTGCCACTCAGTTTTTATTTCCTTTAAGTATTATTCATTTTAGTAATAAACCAATGGTTTGCAACATTTCCATCCTTCAACTTACGCTTTAGTATCCCATTTCCACAAAGCCAAAACCCACACTATCCCTTCCAATATCAGAGCAGGTTACAAGTTGCAACTTAGAGAATTTAGAGGATAAGCCCAGGAGAGGAGGAGGCCTGGTACAAATTTTCCAGGGATATCGCTGCTTCCCCCAGGAAATAATCATTTCTTCCTCCAAAGTTGTATATTTCCACAAGAATTATTTCATAGGTTTTTTTCACGAATTCACAAGATTTCCAAAGCCCCATTTTAAAAGACACTACATTTGTAATTTGAAACAGGCACATGTCATGGAACTTGAAGCACAAAAAATAGTCTTATACTCTCCTCATGGTATAATAAGATTACCCTACAACATCTAAAATGGTTCCATACAGGATCAGAAAACCATTTTTAATACGATCCTTTATCACTTAAAGAACCGGGTGCATGTCCAAGACAATTTGTAATGTTGTATTATTATAACTACTATGTTATTTAAGTAATTATCTACTTACCTAGCATTCTTAAAAGTCAAATGTAGATAAACTCACTAACTAAGCAATATTATCAAGTCTCAGCAGCTGTTTTTAACAGCATTAAATTAAACCACAGTTGATAACTGAAAGCATCAAAAGATTAACTTTCTTGGGTTGGCATGAGTTTTTGATACTAATCAAATCATCTTAAAATGAGGTGATTCATAGTTGCTCTAATAACTTAATAAGAAACAGTTTTTGATGATAAAGTCCCACTCAGAACCACACTTTCTTGTTTGAAAGAGAATTTCAACATCAAATACTTCTACCAAAAATATAGTTCTATAGGTGACATTTAAGATGATAAAGCTATCAGAGCCAGGTTCTTTTGATTGAAAGGTCAGAACATTCCTCCTTCCTCTGGACTCTGTTGTGCTGTATTATATGAGAGTCCTTCACATCCGCTGCTTGCACCTCAGCCGAGTGCTGCATCATGGAAAATGGCATTATTTTAAGCCTTACCTTCAGATAGGATCCATAATATTTGGTTACGTATGGACTGTCACACTGACTCAGCACTGTGATTTCTTGTTGAATGTCCTCTATCTCATCCTCAGCTTCTTCCAGATCAATGATTTTTATGGCAACCACTTTCTGAGTCCGATTGTCAATGCCTTTGAACACCTCTCCAAAAGAGCCCTTGCCAATCTTCTCTAGTTTTGTAAAAAGCTCTTCTGGATCTGCTTTCAGGTTCTGTAGGAGAGAAGAAAAAGAAGGGAAACTTCAATACCTCATGGCGCCATGACTGCCTTTTAGTTTTATTTGTCACACTACGGACCACAGTCATTCAGGGATGGATCTATTTCCCATGTCTAGGACCAGGCTGGCTGTGAACCCAGCTCTTCAGGCTTGGGACATGAATCCCTGGGTCTCTCTTGCGTGTGTGTGTTAGACTCTTATGCGCAGCCACATTTGCAACAAGAACAACCACCCAGCTAGATATAAAACAAGAGGAAATAAAAATTTAAACATGTATTTGAATATGTTAGATGAGAGGCACGTATTTATTGAAAAATCCCTCTTGGCTAAGCAAAAATTCCACTTTTCTCCTCACCCTATCCCCAAAATGTCCTCAGTTCAGGTGGTTATTTATTCAAACACAGGTTAACTAGTTGTATCACCTAACAGTAAAACATGCATGTCCTAACCATGCATCTTTGTTCACTGCTATTGCCTTCACCTACACAACAATTTAACCAGATTCCAGAAAACGATAAGCGCCTGTTTTCTCTTGTCACATAAATGTTATACCCTTGAAGCAGCCTCTAAAAGCTCTTACCCACCCACCCAATGAGTTGCATATCCATATACAGCATACACTTCCAAGAAGTCCAGCTGTCAAGAATCCAAGCTCTCATCCTTAACAGCTCCGCCATACAAAGACGTGTGAACAACTGAGTTCTCAGCAGGGGCAGTAACTTGTCATCCCCAGGGCCTGTTTGTCAGGAAACTGAGGGCCAACACTGACATTTAGCCAGCCGAGCCAGGGATGCTGCACATCTCACCACAAGTAACCACTCAGCCCCAGAGGCCAGTGGCACCCCGGCAACAAGCACGAGCCTGGAACCTCACAGAGCAAGAAAGGACTCTGAGAGCCGCCAAGCCTACAGACACATCTTTCCTGGGAAACAGCCCTCAGAGGAAGAGGATGCCGGGCCAGTCCTGAAAGTCTACACATCCTTCAAAGAAACTGAAATATTAGGAAAAGGGAACAAGGCAGGGAAAGGAGGGGGAGGACTGAAACGGAGGTGGAGAAAGAGAAAAAGGAGAAGGAAGAATAAAAGACCCAGGAAGATGACGTACCCACACAGCAGTGTATGTAAATCGTACACAGCATTTCCAACTTTGGCAGTGTTATGAGCTGAGTGAGCTTTGGGGCTAACCAGACGCCAGCCACTCACCTGCTTTCCAAGGGGCCACAGGAAGCAGGTGAGTCCAGCTCTAATCTGGAGGCCTTGCTGTGCCACAGCACGTCCACCATGGAAACCATGCACCACGATGACGCATGAGTCAAGTCACAAGTGAGTTCTTCACACAGAGCCCCTGCCCCATATTGGAGATCGCACACGGAAAACGTAAAAGCCCACAAAACTCACCAACCATCTTCGTAAAAAATGAACACAGTGAGGTCTGTGTGCTGGACATTACACACATGATGTGAAACGCGTCCTGGGGTAACTGAGAGAAAAGATGCTGAGACCGTGTCACCTAGAGCCCCGCCCACACCGGAAGGTCATGGCCGGTGTAATCCGTGGTCTAACAAGCTGCAGGGATTACAAGGGCTACAGTTTTAGCCATGATCCCCCCTGGCTCATACAAGCTAAACAAGCATCCACTGTGTTAAAAACGAAGCCAGCATTTCACTTCATCTCTACCTGAAGTACTGCACTAAACAAATCAACTGGGTGATTAGTAGAGATGCATTTAGTTTTAAAACTGTTTTCCGTGATAGGACTGTGTTTCCAATGTCTTTCACAAACTCGGGAAGCCTGGCTGTGTATTCCAGGCTTTAAAAATCACAGTGCAAGACCCTTGGGTCTACCAAGACAGTCATCAACCAGCAGTCAGTGCCCAGGATAATTTTCTTAAGTGAGGATTGTCTTTAAAGCTGGCGGGGAGTCCCATAACATTTTCTTATTTTCAAACTTGTCATGTACCCCAGTTGAGCACCCTTCAAAGTCATTTTTGGGAACATGGCCAGAGAAGGCCAGAGAAGCCTGGGTGAGAGCCCCCACCCACCCTCCCACACACCGCCTTGAGCCTACACATCGCCCTCCTTTCTAACCACGCTGCTAGGGCTGAAGGATTTCAGGAGGCAAAGGGGCAGCACTCCTTTCCTTTTTCACGTGCAGTGACATAACTCCATCTTCAGCAGTCCAGCCTTCGCGGCCCCATGCCCCTGCCCTTACCTCCCTCCCTCCAGGGGGAGACAGCGCAGCCCTCCTTTCCTTCAAGGCCAGCCCCAGGAGCGGGGCTCTGGAATCCATCCTTCTCTCCTCCAGGGTTCGGCTTCACCAGCAACGCTCTCCTCGCCTCTGTCTCGACCATTTACCCTCTGCTGGCTCTCCGCCCTTGGCAACATGCTCAAGTTCCTCCCATTAAAACAAACAAAGCACCTGCCTGCCCGGGCAGCCCTCCTCCCCCACCCCGTCCTGCCCTGAAGTTCTCTGAAAGTCAGCTGACTTGCCCGTCTGCTACCACCGCAGCCTGGCTCCACCAGCTCTGCTCGGCGACGCTGCAGTGCCACACGTGAGCCCCATCCCACACCCCTCCCTCGTGACTTTCCAGTCCCTTGGCAGCTACGCCCTGCTCTCAGCTGTCTTCTTCTGTCCCCCCAGCCCCCAGTTCCAGAAGACTCTTCCTGCAGACGCCACCTTGGCCAGCGGCCCTTACGCCAGGGCATCCTCCCAAGGGTCCATCCTGTGCCCCACTTCCTCCTCTAGTCCTTCTCCTCAAACTGTGCCAGTCTCAGGGCTGGGGTCCTTGTTTCCCAAACCTGGCCCAAATCACCAGGACACTTGACGTTGCAACAGTTACACCTGGGGACCAAGGGGGGAAGAGGGTGAATCATCCACATGTGTAAAACACCCCACTTGGTTTTGATGAGGAGCCATCTCTAAGGAAACGCTGTTTTAAGCGATCACGCGTGTGATAACTTTCAAAGTGCTACCTCTGCCTTGCCTTTGAGTTGAACTCTGGGGATCAATTACTTGCTGGGTATCGTCTCTTTCTGCCCGGACAACTCAAGCTCAGAATTTGTCACCTCCCCTGCTGACCTGGACTGTCCTCCTGTAGTCTCCTTCTGCTCCACACCGTCTCCTTTGCTCCAGGAGTCTGGGGACCGTGTCTCCCTCACCTCTACACCCATGTGCCCGGGCACAACAGAATGAGTGGCACAAGCTTGATGGTCAGGAACTGACCTCTGAGAGACGAGGAAATTCAGACGCGCTTTGACACAAACAGGATCCAGGCCAGACACTACAGAGACTATCCTCCTTGGAGGGACAGAAGACCCTGGCAGGGGGAAGGGGTCGACATCTCCTGCAGACAAGGGTGAGGAGACATGGGAAGAGTCTGACTCCTTACGTCAGGAGAGCCAGTTGCTGCTGGAACTTACAAGCACAGAGACTCCCATGTCTCAACAAGCACCCCCATCACCAGGAAGGCTCGTTAGAGCAGCATGCCGACCCCACCCGGAGGTGCTGACTTAGGCCATCTGGTGTGGCCACAAGAATCAGAGCAGCCAGCTGATGCTGCTGGTCCAGGGACCATACCTAGAGAACTGCTCAGGAGACCTGGGGACAGAAGCCAGGCAGCCTCGACATGCCAGCCACTATAGCAGCTTGGATAGGTTTGCTGATCACTCCACCCCATACTAAGAAAACAGCTTTTCTTTTTGAGAGTTGATTTTAAAAGTAGCCCACAAGAATTTATCCAAACCCTTACCATGTCGTTGAGGACCTTGTTACAAAAGGAGCTGTCAATGAATCCTGCCTCTCTGGTCCACGCCTCCATGAATGTGACTCTGGCTCTCCTCCCAGCAAGAGACAGTAACTACTACCCCAGCCCTTGAATCCAGCCAGGCTGGTTCTGCGCCATGTTCTGACCAACACCATGCGGCAGATGGGAAGCTGTGGGCCCTCTAAGACGAGGCCCCAGAGCTGCCTCCTCAAGACTGCGAGACCATGAGGTAGTGAGAGGCAGAAATCACAGATGGTGTGGTCACAGAGACGCATTCAGTCACGTCCTGGAGCCTAGCTGAGGTCCCAGTACCTACATGAGGTCGTCTTGGGCCACCCAGCCCAACTATGCCACCAACTGACTGCAAAGAGCCAGGAAAAGCCAGCAAAGCTGCTCAATCACTCCACAAAACTGTGAGAAGAAGTCAGTCTGCTGTTTTAGCTGTTAGGTTTTAGCTGGTTTGTTACTCAACAACAGACAAATGATAGAAAAAACCGATGCTAGAAGCTGGGTGCTCCCAACAAAGGCCCTGACAGCACACGCCCCGCTTGGGGTCAGAGGGGAGGCGGCCCATCCACTGCCAGACGCCTCTCGCCCTTCCGCTCTTGAACAGGAGCGCCGGTGGCAGCCTCCCTCTTCCTGTCTTGCCAGTTTGTTCAGGTCAGCTCTCTGAATCAAGAGAGGCCACAGCCAAGGGGCTGGTAGCCCATCCACAGTCGGCCCTGACACAGAGAGTACAGACCTCGAGTCTGGCATGGAGCAGGGAGCGAAGGAGGAGACAGCAGGGCAAGGGGAGTATCTTGCCCATTTGAGGGACACGAGCCCTCGGGACTGGAAGGCATGCTGGCAGATCATAACGACACCAATAGTTAACCCATCCCCTGCCTCCATACCTCAGGCAACTCTGCCCACCGCTCCCACCAAGAGGCAGAGTCTGTTATCCCTTGCCTGGAACCCGGGTTAGCGTGTGGCTCCTGTGATGGCGTGCCATTTCCAAGGTCAGGTCTCAAGGGGCCCTGCAACCTTCGCTGCCCTCTTGCAAGGCCTCCATCAGAACCTGAAGAGGCCTGTTCTAGCCACGGGAGAGGCCACATGCACCACACCGAGGCACCAGCCAAACGCCGGGTCAACTGCGAGACCTGGAGAGAGCTGCCCAGTTGCCCACATGTCCCCAATACGCCCAGGCCCCAGCCACTCTCCAGCAGACCAGAGCCACAGAATGAGCCTGAGCTAGACTGGCAGAAAACCACCCAGTTCCTGCTAGGAATGGTAAGAAACACTAAATCATTATTGTCTTAGGTCACCAAGTACTGGAGTGGTTTCTTACACAATAGATGAGAGAACTTGAGACAAATCACTGCAGGAGAAATTGTCGGGGGGGGGGGTGTTCTATACTTTGGAGAGAAATGTTGTATTTTAATCAATGGCCTGTTTTCCTTTCACCTGGTCTAAGGCAGCTCAGGATACAGCTGTTTTCACTCTTCTTTTACCATCTTCCAGAAGGACCTATGCAGAAGCTGCCACTTCGCACACTGAGCAGCCACTGTGTTGCCTCACATCTGCTCACATGGTGTGAGTCTTCCAGACCTCCTCAGCAGTTGGAAACCCAGCTTTGACCCGCTATTGGCAAGGAGGGCACCATCTGCTAACGCTGACAGCAGGGCACTAAACAAAGCAGGGTTCCCGCAGGCAGCTTTACCCTTTGGCAATTCTCGCACAAGTTCATTACCATACAGAGTCCCCCATAGCCAGAAGAAAATCAATGCCAAACTGACTTATTTCAAGCAGGAACCTCAAGATTCTGCTGCCAGAGTTGTCCTCTGAGGAAAGTAGATTTCCTTGGCAGAAAAGGTGCCATTTTTGCCAACCATCTTGATAGCTTTCTTTTAGAACGGTCAGTGCTGCACTGAGCAGCAGCCATGCCTCGGATGAGAAAGGTCTACCCTGCCTGAAAGGAGGCAGAGTCCCAGGCAGAACCCAGGCAGGAGTCAGGACACCCAGCGGCTAGGTCCTTTCTGGGGCAGGGGAAAGTTTGGATGCAAAGAGACGGCCAACATTCCCCTCCCAAGTCCCCTCTCCTAGGGCAGCAAGACTAGGGGATGGGGGACGGGCTTGGGTGCAGCCTACACACAGCATCCCACTCCTCAGGCCCCAGACTCAGCCCCCCAAGAATACCTCGAGGCCCATTCCTGCAGTGGAGCAGAAGACTCCAACCTGGGAGGGCAGGAAGAATGAATCCCACCCTGGAAGGGGCAGGAAGAACGGCTTCTCCAGCATGCTCCCAGCAAAGGGAAGCACAACGGGGTGACTCTCGTTCACATGCTCACAGAACACACACCCCCACAAGCTGCTTCCCTTCGATGAGCCTTGGTTCCTCCACAAAGAGAAGAATTCCAGGACAGAGAGATAATAATAAATTAGCACCTATCTGGAGTAAACGCAACTGAGAGGCCAGCACAGTGGTTCAGCCTATACTCCCAGCACTTTGGGAGGCTGAGGTGAGGGGACTGCCTGAGCCCAGGGGTTCGAGACAGCCTGAGCAACTTGGTGAGACATCGTCTCTACAATAAATTAAAAAATTAGCTGGGCGTGGGGGTGTGTGCCTGTGGTTCCAGCTACTTGGAAGGCTGAGGCGGAAGGATCGCCTAAGCCCAGCAGACTGAGGCTGCGGTGGCCGTGAGTATGCCAACTGCACTCCAGCCTGGGTGACAGAATAAGACTGACTCCAAAAAAAAAAAAAAAAAACACAACAAGTAACTGAGAATGAGGCTCTAGCACCCACCAGTCAAAGTGTCTGACACATCCATGCAGTGTCTAGAATAGATGGCACTGCACTCAAATACTGCCCTTCTACTCACAACTGTCCAGTTCCCACAAAATCTTTCCCATCCATTTTCAGAAAGAGCCCAATTTCCCATTCTGAGGGGCCTCAGGATTGTGTGGAAACCTCAGGGAAATGACACTTGATTTTTCTAGCTCTGGTGGCTTTATTTCCTTCTCATCGTGACAACGCCAGGTCATCTGCCTCTGTAAATTTTAGTCAGCTAACTCTGGGCCTTCCCACAGCCTCGTGCCTTGTCTTGTTTATTTTCACCCACAAGATTTAGGAAAACTAAGGCATCTAGTATACTTAATCATATTAGGGCCAACATTATTAATAACTGACCAAAATAAGTAGAAGATCCATTTCCCCGGGTCAAAAGGTCCCGACATGAGCCTAGACTCTGGCAACACTCCTCATCCCCTCCCCAACACGCCTGCGGAAACATCACCTGCTCATGGCAACAAGACTTGAGGGAGTGGGGAGGAAGTGGGACTTGAGGCAGGGGCAGGCGGGGATCCAGAACTGAGGGAAGAGCTGCAAAGCCAAGGGAAAAGGCACCAGGTGGGTCTGGGGTCAACCAACTCACAAGAGCTTCTCACTGAGGACGAAATGAAAGTATTCTCTTTTGGTACAACCAGTTACCCCAAACCTGGATCTCCCAGAAGCCCAAGGCCACGAGAAACCAACCCATGTGTGCCCAGCACGCACCACAGTGAGGACGGGCACCCATACCCACTGGGCTGCAGCACTGAACACAAAGTCACCCAGCACTGGAGAGGACGGCCATGAGCTCTTAAACGTGCGTCTGTGACTACTAAGGACTCCTAAGGAAAACGCCCATTTAAACTCAGTTCAGATGTAAGAAATTAGACTTGAAGTCTTCCATGACCAAATTCCCATGTAAATTTATGCTGCCTATACATACCTTTTTAAATCTCAA